AGCATTCATTCTCAGACACCTCTCGCATTCACTAGACATACTGAACCGACAGACGCGATCGGCATGAACGCAGTGGGGTACCAATAATAGTAGAGATTAATTCGTATGAAAATAATAAATATATTAAAGTGAATTTATATTATTAAGTTATTTATATGTGATTTTAAAATAATGTGCTCTTATAAAATTTAACTGGGTGTTCACTGCACAAATAAACCAATGGAGAAACCGCTTCTGCCCATAGTTGTTTCTATTTGCTTTAGGTGCTATATACTTTTCCCTCTCAAGGTTTTTAATATAAAACCAGCTATATTTTATTGCTGAACAATATGATACCAATTTCCCAATGAGTCGAGAAAAAGTTTGAATTTTACAGTGTTTTATTCCTGATTTTTTTATTTATTGAAAAAGTGTTTCTTTTTTGTCTATTGGTAAAGTTATTGTGAGGTTTTCCGTATCATACTCAAAACCTAAAAATATAAGTTTTTGGCTAGGTGACATGTTACATTTTTTCTTGTTAATTATAAACCCTAAGTATTCCAACAATTTTTTAACATAAATAGTATTACTTTCACTTCTCTTTATTTTTTGCTATTATGAGCCAGTCATCTAAATAAACCACAACATTAATACCCTTTCCACGTATTATCTCCAGAATTGGTTTAAACAGTTTGGTAAATACCCATGGAGCTACGCATAGACTAAAAGGAATGCAATTAAATTGATATAATTTGTCATTGAGCATAAATCTGAGATATTTTTTATGTTTGGAATTAATTGGTATCATAAAACATCTATCCCTTTTTATTAATTTTTTAATGATTTTATGATCTTCCAGTTTAACTTGACAAAAGTTTTTTAAGATTTAGAATGAATCTAAAATTTCCATTAGGCTTTTTTCTTAAAAATATAGGCGACAAAAATCCTCCTCTAGAATGTTGGCATTTTTCAATGGCGCCTATGCGAATTAGGGCCTTAATTTCTTTTTTAATTCGAATAAATTCGGACTTCAAAACCTTATATAGTGGATGAACATTTCGTTGAGGTTTTTTTACAAAAGGTATTGAGTAACCAAGGATCCATTTTAATATTGTTTTTTCATTTATTAATTTTTGCCACCTATAAAAATATTTTGTTAGAGAGCCAGCATATTTGGTACCAACCTGTATATAGTATTTCTTGGTTCCCCTTGAGGTTGTGTTTCTGCAACCGACTTCTTGTGTGCTGCACTCGAAGATGGCATTATTAGGTATCTACGACGTCTGGATAATGAGTGTATCACATCAAGGACCATTTTCGTAGCATCGGCCATTTGAGGAAGTATATCTAATTTTGGGTTTAAGTCTTCTCTTCCTAATACTGTTTTTGTCATAAGTCCACCCAGGACATTTGTAGGGCCGATGAGCTACTTTTTTAAATTACAGATAAATTTTTTCTTGAATCCCTTTAGTAGTGTTTCTATTTCGCCATTTAATGTCGGTGGATTAAGAGGGCAGTTTTTAGGATGGGTATACTTCTAGATTACAGCTTCTATTTCTTCTTTATTAATGCTTTTTATAATGTATGATGTATAATGTACCGATATGAAAAGGAATTGAATACTACGTTATGTAATGAGGTACGGCAGAACAATGTAGGCTAATATCACATCAAATAGTAATATGAAGATAGTGTAAATCACAAATTTAATTTTTACTATTTCAGATAAATGCGGAGCGATGCGTCACTGATGTTCACTGCGTTTACAATCAAAGTAAAAAGTGCAAACACATTACTGCATTGATTTAATTTATTAACAATGAAGAAAGTGCATCAAAAACAAATAGTGAGCAACAGTGGGATAAACCAAGTGCACCACAATTTGCCAAAAATAAATATTCAAAAGGAGAATATTTCTATACGTACAACTACATGAGTTTTAAGAAGTCCATATCTCCGAATTGGTTACAGATTCTCCATTAAAACAGATTTTGAAAGCCCAAGTAGAAAAACAAATATTCGAACAGTTAAAAATATTGTGAATTCGTTACTAAATCAAATAGAAATTAATTTAGAGAAGGAAAACTGTACGGAATGCGTTAATAATTTTTTAATTTTCTGCGAAGAGCATTTAATTTATAAATGTAATTATGAACTGGACATAAATTTAAAAGATTTTTATTTTAAAAGTATTGTCTGAGGAAATTGTCATTAATTTAAGCGGTAAAATTTTCGGACAATCTTATTGTAATGAGTGGTACAAAGCAAGAATTTTCTGCTAGTACAAATGTGCACAGTATTAAAGTGAGGTCAAAGAAAAGCATCGAAAGTCTAGTATCAGATATGTTATACATATGGTTAACATATGTTTAACATATGAATCACATGCCAAAGAAAAATATGAATTATAGCGCTGTGAAACGTGTTAGTGTAGTTGTTTGCAAATATTAGCCTTGGCTCTGTGGGAGTCTAGATTGTGTAGTCATAGAAGAGGGATGTTTTTCGAAACTAGTGGAATTCAAATATCCTATTTCATGTGAAAAAAAACCTGTCATTAATTTAGTCGATAAGACCTGTAGCGTAAAGTATTTAAAATTTATTGTTGACAAGCTGATACTGAAAAAGGCTGATCCTTTTTGTACTTAAATCCAAGTTCAAATGTACGTAAGTGGGATGACTGCGATTTTTTTTGTGTATTATCCAGTACAAAATGGTAGTTGTTTAGTTCAAGTACACCGAAATGAAGAATTTTTACAGTTATTGTCAAGAGCGAACAATTTTATTTCCAGCACTATTTACTAAAACTAATGATGGAAATATGGATGGTTAAAGTGATTTATTGTTCGTTACATTAGCTGTTATGAAACAAATTTAAAACAAAAATCTTAACAATTTCTTTAAACATTTTATTATGTTCAAATAAAAATACAAATAACTGTTGATAAATCTAGATATAAAAAAAATTAAATTCATTCGTCAGTTTTTTTATTTTTATAAATAAATATTTTTTATATGTTCATTGTACAGTATAACTTATGTGAATTACCAGATTATTTTTCTTTTTTACTTGAAAATATTGGAAGTTATAAATTAACTAAAACACAGCAGATGTGCATGATGTCATCTATGCAATGAAATAAATTTTCAGGAATTTTTATTCAATATTTGATAAATTTTTAATCATTCCATGAGTCTTTCCACGTTAATTCTAACTCTAGCTACGTTGTATGTTTCTTGAGTTTCTTCGGTTGAAAATTCTTTTTTTTTTAAAATGGTGGGATGACCACCTAAACTTTTTTACCACTTGTATCAATAACTGTTTTAATTTCCGGGAAGCCTTTGTCAACCAAAACAACGTCACCATCTTCAAGTAAATCCAACCATCCGAATTCAATTTTTATTTGAGAATCAGACTTCTGTTCTCCAGCTATTTCTGATTTTAGGTAAATGAAGCCTCCTGGAGTAATACCAACGAGAACTTTACCAGTAAAGTCTTTTTATATCGAGAATAGGTAAATACACGATTATCGACACTGGTGGGAATTTCAATCCTAAATTCTGTGCAATCAATTATAACTTTGGTGTTACTATATTCAGAATAAAAACATTTAGGCATTCTTTCTTGCCAAAATACCAAATTTCTTGTCGTACTAGCTAAGTGCTGTAAAATTTCGAAAACAATACTAGAAATTGTTGTTTTGTGAACTTAAGCAATACACCTAGTGCTGAGAATGTCAACCCTATTTTCATTTCCATTAAGAGTGTTAACAGTCTATATTTAGTAGAAACTATGTATTTTTCAGTTGTACACACCCTTTTCAATAAAAATTCAAAATTTTCGAATGTTACACTAGCAAGGTCAACAAGTTGTTCTTTTTTTTTTATCGATGCAAACCCAGTAAAATTATTATTTGCTTAAATTTATTAATCAATATATGTACAATTTTTTTGCTTGCAATTTTTATCGATCTGGTGTCTTTAACAATTTCTGTTTGGCATTCAGCATCACATATTCCAACATTAAAGTATCGATTGTAAATAAATGTTTGAGAATTTACATTCGAATTGGAATAAAAGTTTAAGTGACACTCTTTCAATTTTTCGTTGATAAAATGTAACAGGTAAATTGTCTGTCATTATTTGAACAAATTCCATGCCAGTTGACTATGTATTACTTGTACTAGCTGTCAGTAGTAATTTTTTTTTAACCGACGTTCCATGAAACGATTGTATCTAAAAACATCAATACGTTTTTATTAGGATTTTACTAATATAATTGATACTGATACATAATTATATAATAATATAGTATTTTTATATATTTATTTACCTGCTTGAATCTGAAGGAATCCAGTTTCCGATAACTAAATCAAATCCCCAATTTCGAGAAACAGAATAATATATTAGTCAATATATATGCCTTGCGACTATGTCGAAACAGATATGTTACAACCCCTCTGCGGCTTGCAAAAGAAAAGAGGACTAAGCATATTAATCTATTGATGATTCATAATCAATATTATGATGATTAATATAACGATTGGACCGAGAATGATGTCCCCTTCGATGTTTTAATAAAAAACTTAAGCCGTCTCGTTTCTTTACAAATCAACAAGAATGAACATAAAAATATTACTGTGATCGATGTTTCCATTGTTGTTATACAGCTAAAGGGTTCGAACAACAGTTGTTTGTGGACACCGAATGTCGAAAGAAAATGAACAAGTTTATTTCAAAAATTATAAAAATAAAACCAAAGCTCCTTTCATGGTTTTTGCAGATTTGGAATGTACGCTGAGATCTACTGACGAACCTAAAAAATATCAGAACCATGTTCCATGTAGCGTTGGATATTTCCTAAAATGCTCCTATAATGACAGTTTATCATTTTACAGATCATACAGAGGAGAAAATTCTATGCAAGTATATTACACCCAAACAGGAAACAGAATTCCAAAAAGTAACACACTGTCATATTTGCGAAAAGCCCTTTGCTCAGGGTGATAAGAAGGTTTGTGATCATGATCACTTTATTGCTGAAAATAACTATCGTGGTGCCGGCCATGATACTTGTAATGTTTCATAATTTGAGTGGATATGATTCTCATTTTTTAATTAAAGATATTGCCGTCAATTGGGAGGGGAGCATAGATGTACTTCCATTGACTAAAGAAAAGTATATTTCCATTACGAAACATGTTCTTGAAAATCTGATAAAATTCAGATTGATCAATTCTTTTAGATTTATGAATTCAGGATTAGAAGAATTAGATTCATATCTGACGGAGTTTTTACATATGATAATGGAATTTCCGGAACTTGATGATGGGTATTTAAATTTGTTGCGAAGGAAAGGTGTATTTCCTTACGATTATCTCGATAACATTAACAAATTTGAACAGACCATTTGACCAACACAGAGAATTTTATAATAAATTATATGATGAAAATATTACAGAAAATCAATATACTCACGCGCAAAATGTCTGGGAGAAATTTAATATAAAGACGCTCGGTGAGTACAGTTTATTATATTTGAAAACAGATATATTATTACTAGTTAAAATTTTTGAACAGTTTACAACAAGTTATCAAACTTATGTGCTTGATCCGGCTTATTACTTTACGTTACACGGCTACACATGGGTCTGCATGTTATATAAAATTAACCAAAAATTTGATCTACTATATGATTATGATATGCAATCGAGGTGGTTTAAGTCAAGTTTGCGGTAAGAGAAGAGTTAAAGCAAGCAATAAGTACCTACCTACCCATAACCCTAAAAAACCTGATATATATATATATATATATATATATATATATATATATATATATATATATATAAATATATATATATATATATATATATATATATATATATGTAATTTATTTTGATTTAAATAACTAAAATGGGTGGGCTGTCTCAATATTTACCATGTGGTGGTTTTCATCAAAATTGACGTCACATCCATCCCCGATGAAGATTAAGAAGGGTACATGATTTACATAAAGATGTACCGTTCTGTCCAGAAAAAATGGAGCCGCAGGATGCCGCTAAAACACATGTAAATGATGGAATTCAAGGAATTAAATTACATTTATTTAAAGAGGAGAAACTTTTTTCAACTCTGGATGATAAGAAAAATTATGTAATCCACTATAGATATTTAAAGCAAGCGTTATCAAGAGGGCTGGTACTATTTAAAATTTAAATTATTATAGTTTAATCAATCTCCTTGGTTAAAGTCCTACATCGATTTCAACACAGAGCCTAGAAAGAATGCCAAAAACGACTTTGAAAAGAATTTATTTAAGCTCATGAATAATGCGGTCTTTAGCAAGACAATGGAGAATAAGCGTAAACATTCTCGAATTGGTCTGGGTAAAGAGTATAGTGGGAGATACGGTGCAGAAGCCCGAATTTCAAGCCCGCTGTTTAAAAGTGCAACTGTATTTGATGAAAACCTTACTGCTGTGGATCTCCATAAATCTGAAGTATTTTCTAATACAACCTATGTTGGAATGAGTATTTTGGACTTTTCTAAAATTGCCATCTATGATTTTCATTATGCTTAACAATTTTACAGACTGTTCAATTATTTAAACAGACACTGATTCACTTATCTATGAAATTCGAGATCAGGACCCCTATGAGATAATAAAAAGAGATTGTTATAAATATTTTGCTACGTCTGATTATTCTGAAAATAACAGTTATGGACTACCGCGTGTTAATAAGAAGATTATAGGACTAATGAAGGATAAAAATAAAAGTGCTATAACGACAGATTTCATCACGTTGCGATCTAAAATATATGTTTTAAAACTTCATAAAATCACTAATGATTTGAGAAAAGAACTAAATAGACAGTAAAAAAGTAGATGTCCTGACATTGAAAGTGCGATAGCTAATATTGGTGTTGGAAAGAAAATTAAAGGAATTAAGAAACCTATTATTAAGAACAAGATTACATTTGAAGACTATGTTGAATGTTTAGAAAAATGGACTGAGAAAAGGATTAATCAGAATTTAATTAAATCAGACAAACATCATGTTCACTCTATTACACAAACCAAAGTAACTCTTAGTCCATTTGATGATAAAAGATATATAATTTCCGGAACGTATGAAAGGCTACCGTGGGGACACTATTTGATTAGATCAACGAATGATGCTAATTATTATTTAGATTGAGATGATCCTATGGATGAGGATTAAATCTTTTAAGTATTACACATTTTATCTAGTTTTAACAAATATTTAAATATTTTGATAATTTATTAGGTGATAGTTATGTATTATTAGTAATATTGAAATTATAATGATTTTTTTTATTTGATTTATAATATGGTGGTTAGGTATTCAATTCAAGGCAAAATAATGAACCCTCATGCTTCCATCACCTCCTAGGCACAAACTAGAGTCGATTAGGTTACCATTATTAAAAACAATTAAAAAAACCATTACCAATTGGTATTCTATAAACAAATTAGAACCAATTAAAAAGATGCCAATTCCTTTTGGTATCCTAGTCACAAACTAGAGCCGATGAGGTTATCATAGTATCTAAAAGAGCATTTATCATTAAAAATAACTAAAAGAGCCATTGCCAGTCAGTATTTTATATACAAATTAGAACCGATTAAAAAGATGCCAATTCCCATCGGTACCCTAGTGACAACCTAGAGCCGATGAGATTATCATAGTAATCAACATATTCATTATTCATCGGTAAAACTTATATTCATGTTTGTTTACTTAACCAACATAATACCATCATTAATTATTTTCTTATGGTTTTGTAGGCCTATCGGTAAAGCTTTCCACTATAAAAAAGCAACGCACTGTGAGTTCTATCTCCACATATTAAAGGTAGTTTATAAATTACCAATATATAAGACAGTGTGGAAACGAACTTCTGTTACTACACAAATATCACAAATATACACAAATATTTGTTATCATTAGAACGGATCGATTATGTTACTTATTAATAAATATTTTCAAATAATATTACTTCTTCATTTTTCTCTTTAAAACTTTATACATTATTACTCCAGCTAACCTTTTGATAACATTAACATTTCTACGTCTCAAAGACTTAGCATTATATTTGTCGATGAAATGGTGCAGTAGCTGTCTCTATTAAGATATATAGCTTTGCATCATATAGTTGGCTCTATTTCAACTAAACTATTTATTCCAAATACACATTTATCGTCGTGGGTATGGTTGTGACATAGTGTTCTTATAAATCATTAATAATACTAGCTTTCTACACCTCTAAAAATTAAAAAAACTGAACTGTTAATGATTATATTTAGAAGCAACGGTCATGATTAAATCTATAATGAATAGTGGTTTTAGCGATTAAGTCTTCAATATAAAATTCTACAATCGAAGGCTAATAAATATCTGTCGAAAAAATCTAAAAATATAACGGAGATTTTGTTGCGGTAAACGATGAATTAGTGTTTTTTTACAAAATCTATACAGTTTAGCACGTTAATCAGAGATATAGGTCCTACCATTTAAAAGATAGAACAAAAATACTATAGCTTGATTATTGGACACATGGTAGACATATTACAAAGTGGCATATCTACCTCACATAACACAGTATTTCGTCCGAAACACTAGTACTTAGAACACACAAAAATTACAATTTATAAAATATTAGGAGACTAGTCAATTTATAATAATATAGTACAAATTAATTGAATTGCTTATTTCAAAATGTGAAATTATTTTATTACTTTAATGATAAAAACCTATTGGTAACATTTATTTTCAGATACTCTTTCAGTCGAGTTGGTTTTCATTTTTTCTGATCATTAATCATATTAAGAACCACTTCTTGATGTATGTTAGATAATTAAATTAGAGTAGAAATATAGATAGCTAAAATAAGTTACTGTTAAGTACCAGTAATAATTAAATTTTACAGTTGTAACACCCCATATATTCATATTAAATTAAAAATAAATAATGGCAGTTAAAATATGTATAGTTACTGTTGGCCACATAGTAAGATCCTAAGTACAATCTATTCACCAATTTTATTTTCTCGATTTTTCAAAACTTTACTGTTGAATCGCCCTGTTTATTCATATTAAATTAAAAATAAATGATAGTTGTTAAAATAGGTATGGTAACTGTTGACCACATGGTAAGATTCTGAGTTTACTGTATACTGCAGTTTTTCAATAATTAATTTCTACAGTTAAATCACCTCGTATATTTCTATTAAACGAAAAAGAAATAATGGTAGTTAAAATGGAGTATAGTTACTGATGACCACATGGTAAGATTCTGAGTTCTACTGTATACTGCAGTTTTTTAATAATTTATTTCTACAGTTGAATCACCTCGTATATTTCTATAAAATTAAAATAATAGTAGTTAAATAGGAGTATAGTTACTGAACATATATAGTGGGATCCTTAGTACTATTGTATACCCACTGCAATTTTCCAATAATTATTCTCTACAGTTGAATCACCACGTATATTCATATACAGTATGTCCCCCTAAGTTGGAATCATATGGAAAACTTTTTTATTATTAATTTTAGGAAAAAAAAATATTCTGCATAAAAAGTTCTGCATTATCTAAAACCTAGAATACAGTCATCAAATATCAAATTTTTTCAGTGGTATACGAGGTTTGTAAAAAAATATGAGTTTTACTCAAGAGTAAAGTACCTTTAAATTTGACAATATCGAAAAATGTTACTAAAAAAAAGTTGATCAAAATTAAAAATTACGTTTAAATGTGCAAGTACATCCATTTGCATTAATAAACTTATTTTTAAAACGTATGTCTACAATAATGCAAATTTAACTGTAGTTACATGTAATCTAGGATGCACTGACAAACAAATAATTTTTTGATAGAAGGAAATGTTGACAGTAAATGTCAAACCGCGTTATAATTTTTAAGACATATAAAAATGGTAGCGTTATGAAGAGAAAATAGAAATTGTTTTGATTGCTATAAAACGCATAGAGAAGCAGCAAATATTTTCAATAATAAACATCCCAATATAACAAAACTTAAACGGAACGATAACAAAACATATTAACTACAAAAAAAAACAAAAAGCTGTTCACTAAGGCCACGAAGCAAATTTAATTTTTCCTCGTGCCTTCTATTTTTTCCGTCTTTTTTTTCTGCTATTTCGTTCATTACATCAGCTAAAGTTTTTTTGCTCTGGATGTACTTGTAGGTTGGATCCTTTAAGTAGAAGAAACAACTGGTTGCATTTCTTTTAATACACATTTTTTAACACCAATTTTTTACTTTTGGAGCTAAACTATCATCAATAGCTGCTATTTTTGTTAATTCAGCTTCAAAAGGATCAATTTCCTGCGTTTGGCCTGATGTTATGTTATTATCAGTTATTTTCT